CCGCTTTGCGGACGACATCGTTCTGTTCTCAAGCAGCATTGCGGAAGCTGAGACTGTGCTTGTTGAACTTGATAAAGCAGGAAAGAAGGTAGGGCTGCGGATCAACCAAAGAAAGGCACAGTTCATGAAGAATGCTTGGGCTGACGAAGGACAAATTAAGATCGATCTTATACCTACCAAGAAAACGTCGTCCTACGCCTAACACGGGCATATTTATGGACAACGACATTGGGGAAGGACTGGTGAGACGGCAGAAAGCAGCGTGGGCAGTGAGTTCACCAACCATTTGGTTGAACCGGAACTACACGCTAATCTACTCAATTTCGCAATTCTTCTTGCACTCTGTTACGGGTCGAAGACGTAGGTGACCAAAGCAGCAAGGGCTTTGAGCACAAATCACAGAGCGCACGAGCGATGTCCTTCAGGATTCAACCGGCTCACTCAAAATCGAGCCGGACTCCTCAGCTCTGACATGCGTAGAATGTCTCGACTCCGCGATCCGGTGGAATACATGAGTAACGCAAACTTTCGGTGGACCGGTCATATAATGAGAAGAGACGATGACAGATGGACAAGAAGGACTATCGTGTAGGCTCCCGTAGGATCTTGAATTCTCAAGAGATCTTGCTGCGGTATGATGAATGTGCTTGTCGAGCACGTGAATTAGCTGCGAAAGCAGCTGAACGACTCCTCACATCGCCATCTTCGCCGAATCCTGAATCTACCGTGGACGGCGAAAGACAGAAGCGAATGGTTTGTTGCTGGTGCTCGCACGTGAGTGAAGACGAGTGAGTATAAGTATAAGTAAGTATAAGGAAGTATGGCAATCAACAAAGTGCGTTTAAATAGAGGCATAGTGAGAGGGCAGTAGTCAAGATGACGGACACTTCCCGGAAATGCGGCAACCGCCGACCAGTTGCCTCGTTATTGCAGTCCTAGCGCTCTTTATTCAGCTCACTCGATGCGATTATTATTTCTGGCATGATTCTACTGTTACTTCCTCGGCACTGTACTTCTTACTTGCTGCGATGCTTCCGCTTCGTTCTCCTAAACTACTTCGCGCTCGACGTCGCTCTCGCCGCGAAGTGACTATCTCGATTCAACTGCACCACATCCGCCACTCCCTACATTGACGGATTCGTACCGCTTCTCCCCTATCCGTACCCACCTTGTGAGTACAGTCTCAGAATAGCTTGGTTGTCCACTGATCACTTATTTCCCGGTGAACTTGGTCATGTCAGTGCTCGGTTGATTACGTGGCAACTCGTACACCCTCTCATTTCGACTAGTAAAAGAACAACTCTACTTGTCATAAGTTCCACGTTTTTTTTCCAATTCATCTTCGCTAACGGATCGATGGAAATTCCGTTTTGAATTCTCTCCGGATCTTATCTAATTTAGCTAGCTAATGTTCTTTTTGTCGAAAACCTTTACGACTTACAAGTATTGAATGTAGGGATCATCTCCATGGTATTCTCGGAAAACATGTTCCGCTGAAATAGTCTTTTGGCTACATAGCGAATAGATTATGCTTACACATGCAACTAGCTTGGCATCAGTGAAACGTTCTACATGACAGCGTAGTTTACTTTTTGATTCGACCCCATAGCTCCTATTCGTCAATGACACTCCTCCCCTTTTAGCCCACTTTTGGGTCTATTTCATGAAATCCTCAACTTGTCAATCCTTACCCTTTACTTACCCTTTACTACTTTTGTGTTGTCAGGTTTCTTTGAATTTATTCTCATGGTTGAAGCGTTTTTTCAAGCAATCTGCTACTACTGCCCTCTGATCAATTATCAATTTCGCCTATGCCCCGCCCATTCTACTGCGAGTTTGCGAGAGAACCTTAGCTACAATCTTTCGCTCCCAAACAATCGCTAAAAATGTAAGAAATAAAAACTTTGAAACATTTCGGACAAGATTAATACATACCAGGACAGCAGTGGGAAGATAAGCTGAAGGATTCCCGCATGCAATGAAATCCTTTTTTACAATCGCCATCACTCAAGCATTCTACCAAGACTGGGTATGGATTGAGCTCGAGCATCAGTGGCATCACCGTTTTATCTTTACATGGCGCTGTAAATAAACAATGGAATCATCGATAAAAGTAGAATATGTATAGAAAAAATAAAAAACAAAGTTTTGACGTTAATCAATCCCGCTTTTGGGATGCACCCTGCATTCGACTTCCAGAGTGTTGGATAGTGCTTTACTTGCCACTATACCACATCCGCCCTGATTACTGTTCGATCTGTCGTCAAGATGTTTGTACTGGCTCAATATCTACTTTGTTCCCATAATGAGTGGTTGATTTTGCAGCACCAATCATGTTTATTGAGACTGGGATTCTGCATCCGTCAGCCTGTCCTCCAGACTTGACGTTTGGGCCAGAAGAGTCCCCTCCTGAGGTTAGTAAAGTCCGGCGACGTATTTTCTTATGCGTATCTTGTATTTTTTTATTTTTTTCATATTTTGAAATTATTTTCCTTTGATTCCCTACTTTTCTACTTTTGAAATCATGAAACTCGTAGTTTTCATGAAGCGGAGATATCCCATTGTTAATATGCCCGTCCGATGTTCTAGAGGACGAGCTATAGACCTGATGACTGTCTAGCAGTCCCACTTCATTGTATGACTCACAATCAGCGTGCTAAGGATGGAATGAAGTCGAATGCATGGCTTGTACCAGTGGATCTGATCAATATCGCCCCGTTTACTCTGCCACTTCTACAGATCATTTCGTTGAAAGCCGCTTACCTGATGCACAACAAACTCCAATTGGATGCCCACCTATGGCACATTCCACATATGCAGGACAATCTCTATCGCCATGACAAGTTATTATTCCTGATCGGTTACTGAGGGGCGTGCCTTCCTCGCAGAGCGCTGTAAAATCACTCTTATTCATAAAGCAGTAACTTTTTGTGTGGGTTTGTCGGTATGTCGGTCTGTCTGTCCGCAAAACTTTGTGATTACGATGAATGTAGTGATATGGAAAACTTAGATCTATTCTACACTTCCTTCTTATGTATAAGGCAGTAAATTGGTGGGTAAGTCAGTGGAGTGGAGTGGGTACTGCGAAGTCTGAGTGATGTGGAGTGAAATGGGTACTTCAAAACTATGATTTCGATCTGTACCGGCATCGTGCTATGTACGTCTTTACAAAAATCGGAGGTGAAAATATAGTTGGAAGACCTCTGCTTTTTTTCAATGTAATTTCAACATAAGGAAGTTAGCCCATAATTATGCTCGTTAACATTTCTTGGCCGAGAACGTACAGTTTTTTTGATTTGAGCTTTAGGAGGGAAGGGGTACTGAGGTGGGTGAGTCAATTGAATATTCACCTCATACCCCATCCTAGCTTGTTGCACGAGGTAATCATCTCACCCCCACTCCACCGCTCCTCCCCTACGGGGGCTTGAAACCATATTCTTTCGCCTAGAGCCGTTTCTAAATATAGATCGGGTCGGGTACCCCTCCCCTACACTCTAGCCCTCGTTGTTGGTTAAAAGCGATGCCCCCTCCCTGACTACATTTTCTGACTACTTGGTAAAAATGAGGAATGAGGGCCGGCATATGTAGGGCGAAGCGACTGGTTTCTTAACATGAACTATCAAACAATGCTGTATCCTTTAGTCCGTTGAGATAAGGCTACAAATCCTCCTCTTATCTTTACCGGTTCCTCTGTCCCTCTAACCAGTAAGTCATTGTGTGGGTCGGTTGTGTAAGAACATTGATCAATAATTTTGGTACAGTGGAGTCTTGCATATATTGAAAATTTGTAGATATTGTCAAAGCTTACTAGGTAATGGGCAACAGTGACGAGTCTTGTTGGCTTTCCCGAAGCACTCGTAGAATGATGGGCAGTCACGATCGACATTGCACTTCCAGTAGCCTCTCTGTTTGGTGTACATGGCGATTCCTTGCTTACACAGTTCTATAACACTATCCGTAATCAGAAGATTTTCGTATTATATTTTTTTTAATAGGTTCTACAAGGTGTCGAAGCTTCCCATCTCTTCTTGTACCTTCCTACCACTTCTTCTTCAGCAAAGTTTATGAAGGGCTATGGCACAATTTAAGAGTTAGGGAATCGAAGTGTATTGTGCCGGATTGTTAGGACAATGGTGAATGTTGAAACCTTAAAGGCACAGTTCACGATAATTTTGGGTAACCAGATTACGATGAAAAATGGAAGACAAGATCGAAACTAGTGCGACTGGGGTGAAGAAACTGCGTGCATCGGTGTTACCAAAGTGAAAAAGGCTTCGAAAAACCGTTAAACAGGGGGCTGGACGAGAATGAGTACAGAAAAATGAAGAGGAGTGGAGCCTTTGGACGAGCTATACAATGTCTCTCACTGCGCACTTGTGGGCCCTGGTGCGAATGAAAGACAATGGTAAGCGAAAATTCATTCACTTACAAGCATAAGTAAACAAAAAACCCTAGTACAGCAAAAGTAGCTCACCTCTTTTAGCCTCTAGGATTAGGAAATTAAATAAGCGGCAGCAAGAAGAATTGCAGAGAAAAAAGAATAGGAGAAAAACATCGCCTCATCACTCGGCGACAGCTAATTGTGTGTGGGTCCTGGAACGAAAATTTGCAGCCTGTATTGTCTCGACACTCGTCTGACGCGATGACATGACATCGATGGAGAGGCGGGAAGGCCATTGACGTCCCCGCCCATTGAATTATCGTGAACTGTGCCTTTAAGACAATGGTGAATGTTGAAACCTTAACGCTACTCGTGGAAAATGACCAGTCACGATTGCCAACCACGCATCACCTAACTCGTGGTGACTTCAGAAGCATGGAGCTCCTATATAATTGAGGCTGGACTACACTTCCTCAGGAATAATTTTTTAAAGAGTTGGTCGGTATTGCACGCTCGAGAGATGTTGAGGAATAGGTGGTCGGTTCCACTGAAAATATACGAGTTTTGTAGGGTTGGGGCGTAGTTTTATAGGTATTCTGTGAATGACTGTGCTTGCTCAACACAATTGCTATTTCCTTGATTTGATTGGATTTATCACATGAGCAAAGCATCATGTGGAACTAAACAAAAACAAGATCTCCGAAGAACGAGAGCTTAACGGTTGGTCCGGAGCCTCAGATCACTCAAACCGATTATTAACAAAAATAACAATGAAAAGCAACTAGAGATACAGATCAAGAATAAAAAAGAGCAAAAGGAGTAAGAAATTAAACGTAAAAAATACAACAAGAAAGCCGAATACGACAAACTGTTCAGAATGAAAGTTGGGTCGCTACTTTGCATTGAGCTACCGTCGGGTATGCCATTCCTCTTGATAGTTTTATCAAAAGCTAAAGCTGCACGGTTACAAAAGTAATGAATTCTGAGGCTCGTGCTAGACCTAGTATACAGTATTGTCCAGAAAAAAATCGCTCTGAACTTTCTCGCCATAACTCATCTCGAACCCAATGTTTCTGGCCGGGTTTTTGACAGCACCCTTTTCAAACATTACCGACTCTCCTGTGATGCAGAATCGGCGGTAGCTCACTTCCGGCCAAGTGGGTGAACTTTTTCCAGAAACATTGCGAAAGCCGTTTGTTCTCTAGTTAGGTTTCATTGTGTTTTTTGAGACTAGAAATGTCGATGATTCTTTTGTTCTGTTGGTTGATCGCTCTCAGTAAAGAGACGAAACTCTGGCTCTCGCTGTCTGACCGTGGAGCAGCTCTCGCCATTGACACGGGCAGTAAGCAGGGATTGACCCATGCTCAACTTCTTGGGCTGTTTTTTGTCCCGATATCTACGATTACGAAGGCTATCGGAAGTACTGAGTTTCTCACAGACCCAATCAAACAAGCCAGCTCGGGAAGGCCACGGATTGCCGCTTCTGAACACGATAGAAAGATCATTTGCGCGTCGACCCTAGAATGCAGACGAGCGTCTTCCGATATAATGGTTGAAATATCAACGATGGCTATGTCGCTACCATCTAGAGGTAGCATCAACAGAGCCTGCGGAATACTGGATTATATGGAAGAAGACTTGGGAAAAACTATCTGGGTCTCCGGAAAACAGATGATTTCAACTTCATTGGGCCGTAAGCACCCTCACTGGACTTTCGAGTAAGCAATAATGACACAGCAGCTTACTTTGGTACTTGAAATCGTTTGCAAATTTGACTGCAGTGTTCTCAATTCGCTGCCTGAGAATCCATAGCCATGGCTGGAAACAAAAAACTCGGATTCTAATGAAGGGGAAATTCAAGAACGGTTTGGTGCGACACTTATGTGAAGAAACGGCGGCTGGGAGATTTCCACTACTAATTTTATGTAGGAGCGGGCATCCTGTACAGTTCCGAATCATTACCGTTGTACTGGAGTCGCGGAGCATTCGCCGAAGTAATACGATGTCATAGAATAAGGCTGTCTGTCACTAATTTACTACCTCCTTCTCTCTTTTACGACTGAAACAACAGTGGGAGCACGGTAGGAGAATGGGGTCCCCGTATAATACCGGATTTCCGTTCTTGTCGTCAACTAGTACGTTCATCCTATGATTGCGAGGTGACAGGGTAAGAGAGCTTGAGTCGTGAGATCTAGAGGTGTCTCTGTTCGTTCCCTGTCAAAAATTCTTCAGCTTATTCCAATTGTTCCCTCTGGCACCGTTTTTCAATCCAACGACAGAACATAAAATAGCAGCATGTTACTATTAGCGTCCAGATGTCAACCATTCTTTACGGTAGCTTCATATAAGAGTTTAGACCGGTTACTATAGATGCAAGCAGTCAAAAAACTTACTTCAGGTGGGGCCGGTGTTGTGGTGGCATCTTCGTCTTCTATGGTGTCATCTGTGCCGTGTACGACATCAGATGAGACACCCGTGCCATATTCATCTTCTGTTGGAACCTCCGGGCTGGCATCCGTGGTATGTTCTACTGGTGGAACCTCTGGGTCAGCATCCGTAGTGTGTTCTTCTTCTGGTGAAACCTCTGCGCTCGTATATTTCTCTTCTGGTGTGACCTTCGGGCTGGCATCCGTGGTATTTTCGTCTTTTGACGAAACATTCGGACCGTTATCAGTGGTATATTCTTCTTCTGATGAGACCCCCGTACTGTTACCGGGCGGCACCTTCACGAATACATTTGTGATATTTTCGTCATCTGACAGGATGTTCGGGATGAGTATCACCAGCCATAGCCACATTTGAATCTGCGATATGAACCGTCCGCTGTTAGGGGTAGGAATCAAATGGTATCACCCGGAGCCAGTGGTCCGTCAGTATCATAAGATATCAGCCGTGTTATTCAAAGCTATCATTCACTTTGTAAGTTGCAGTAGACAGGATTCGGCTGTTTTGGAAGCACCATTGGATGCCTGCGGTAACATAACAGCCTATAGAAAAATACTGTCCTTTGAAGAACATATTTCCTTGATGATGGATTGATCGGCACTGGTCTCCCAATCGGTTACTTTCAAAGAGGACTTGTGGCGCATCACTGCCGTGCCCACCAGAAACGCTTGATTTAACTGAGGACAGTCATTTCATCGAAATTTGAAAGTAAAAGCCAGTGTCTGAGAAAAATTATAAGCATAACCCAGAGATACATTCAGGTGTGAAAAAAATTTAAAAAGCAGGTTACCCAGGAATTCACCTCACAGGCTCTGTTTATATTACACTTTGTATTGGTCCCGCTCTTCATTTTCCTTTATCGATAACTATGATTTTTTTCGAGGGGGAAAAAAATGTGGTTAACAGCAACGCAAATAAGTAAATAAACAAATAATAGAGTAAATAAATT